TTGCACTCCCAACAAACGACTTGGCTACCAGCTACACGAGACCCGTCTCTAGCTACAACGTCATCCGGCTCAACTACACTCTTCACGGACTCCAACTGCTCCTCCAAACCCCGGCCCTTCTAAGGGCCACCAAGTAACCGAATCCCTATAGCGTCATCCGCACTGAACCGTGTTAACTGTTCTAAAACAACATCAGCCTTTATCAGAGCCAACAAAATCTTTGGTTACTAACCAAACGTAAGGGATAACATCATCCAATACAACTTAAGGATCCCCGCTTGTGGTGTTGCTCCTTCTGTAGCGCCTGATCATCATTACGCGAGAATATCCGATACCAATGGATGACATGAACAGGATATTGGTGTTCAAGAAAAACCTCTATACAAACCTATGGACCAAACAGGGATGGGAAAAAAGAAAAAAACCTTGGTCAGGGAAGGTACGATCTATAGTACATCAATGGATGCAGGGCTTAAGAAGGTACAAGGTACAGATGCATGGACATCAGTATCTTTCAAGTCGAAAGTCACACAATGGAGATGTACACTCATTTCATTTGAACAGGAGATGTACACAGAACACATAGATGTGATGAGGATGATGATATGGATCATTTACAACTTTCCTGGAATTGACTTATCCCAAACAAACAGTCCACAAACCTCCTTAATATTTTAAAAAAAAAAAGAAACAACAGAATGCATCAAAGGAAGGAGGAAAAATCTCCGAAGCATAACGAGATTCTAAGATTCATAAGAAGAAAGGAGCACTGCGGATTCAATGGGTACTTGAGGTAGATTGACATAACACTGTACGTGTAGATTCTGCCAAGAAGCAGAAGAGACCTCGTCGCACCTAATGCCACACTTCTGTGATGTACAACATAATCGTAGAGGAAGTACAGCCTCTAAAACCCTTTTACCACTACAATACTGATTTAAGTCAGTGCAGGAAAAAGTGGAACCGAGGTGGAGAAATCGTTGGGGCTTCCGACTCGTATTTAATTAACATGTGAAAATTGGTTTGACCGCTAGCCAGAACAACCAACCCTGCATGGCAGAAATTACTTTACTTCACTTGTTACAATCACAAAAACCGAGTTTAATAGTCAAATTGAATCAGGACTCACCGGCGGCTATAAATTATGTGAACAATGGGCACAATAGCTCTCCAGGGGGCGTAGAAGGCTGCAAAGGTTAATACATGTTTAATAAGGCGTTGACATAGTATCATCACTGTATGGGTCCTGGGTTCGAATTCGCAGCGTTGAGGTTAACATAATACATAAAACTTTTTTTTTTCAAAAACACAAGCAAGGTTGGTACGACCCCTGCTTTTAAGATCCCCCTAAAATTTGTTCTCAAAACATCTATCTTTAGATTTGTTTTGAGGTCTGCGAGGTGGCCTTCTCTGATCATGGTTTTGGTCTTTCTGTAATCTGCAGTTCCACATCATATGAAATGTATTGTTTAAAAACCGCGTTGGTGGAGGCTTCCCAACATATTTTTCGACTTTTCAACGGCCTATAGTTTGGAAAGGGCGAAATTAATCTTCTACAACAGAAATTTTCATTTCTCCTCAGACAGTTTTGAATATTAATGAGAATTTCACAAAGAAAAACGATTATAGCGCGAGTCTTCAATTGGAAAAGGGGGCGGTATACTTCATAATTACTTGAGCCCACTCGAGAATTTGCTCCTAGCAAGTTTTTCCGAGGGAAGCCGGCGAACAGCCACAGGGGCTCCGTCGTCTTGGGAAATCGGTTTAAAAGTTGTACAGTGGAAAATAAGTCCAAAGAAGGCGTATTTACGTCAAACTTATCAAGGGGGGGGGGCAACTTAGCAACTCTCAAACAGTTCTTCTCTATAACTCCTTTTTCTACTTCACCGATCACGTAGTTTTAGAACCAATAACGAGGTAGAACCGATTGTTTTTATTTATTGACAGGGCCCGGCGAGGGGTGAGGCTTGAGGGAAATTTGTAATTCCTCTATTCCTTCGTAAATCTAGTTTCGAAAGGTTGTACTACTCAATAAGGAGGAAGAAAAGTTTCGGCCGGAGTGTAGGCAAGATTCTCCTGACGAGCTCTCTTTTTCAACTCGGAAGGCAAGATCGTGGAACTTGTTAAGAACATTTTCTTACTGTTTGTTTTTATACGGTTTAACAGATTCTTGATACCTTAGCTGCAATATTTTGCTTATACTTGCGACAATAAGTTAGACGGGTTTCGAGTTATTAAAATTTTTATCACTATGAAAAGTACGCTCCTCACACTCACTAAAGATTGAGGAGTAGATGCTGTATTTATTTTTTGAACTGCTATTTACCAAATTGTTTAAAACCGAAAAAAATCAACGATTATTGTTGAGAACATGTGTTTCAGGACCATTATGTGTCCAGATACCTGCTAGATAGTAATTTGTTTAAACAAATTCTAGTATGACTTTTTATTTAAGCCCTCCATTAAGTCCTGCGTTAAGTTAATGAAAGCTCAAAAACAAGTGAATGAATATGAAATATATCCTGGTCAGGCGTTTTATCTTTCTAGACATCGAGGGATGGCGGTTGTTTGTTGTCTCCTTCGTCTAGTTCTTAATAGGTAGGACAGTAATCAGTAGTCCTCACACTGACCTTGAGATGACAAATAAGTTACAAGGAGAGAACATAAGTAGCGTGTTATACGTGAACCTCTGATCGGTGACCGACATTTGGCAGCCTTTTCAATTGCATGGCATGAACCCGCCGTGTGTTTTATGTGCGCAGTTAGTCGCGAGGCCAGCGATACCACAACTCCCCAGGTGGTTTGTAAGGAGGGTAAGAGTGGAATGGCCAAGGATGAGGGATTTGAGGTATCGGGATGCTAGGTCAGTAACAAAAGGGATTCGAAGGTATGAGTGGAGAGTATGGTTAAACAAAGAAAGATTTGATTTATTAGCCGACCCGTACAGTTCCAGTCCGCAAGATGTACTAAGTTCAAAATGTCTAATATACTGCGATCTTTGAGAGCTATTGTACACTTTGAAATGTACGGTAAGTCGGAGTTCATTTACCTCATAGCACTTTTTATAGTGCAGCGGCACAGTTTGTTAGTAGATGTGTTGGAGTCTCCTCTCCTTTGCAAAATCTACACTACTATGTTGGATTATACTAATCTTTCTCAAATGCCCGTTTAGTCAATTAGACGTTTTTCCTGCTTCCTTTTATACTTTCCGTTGTCTCTTTTCTTCCGAAACTCGTTAGGAGGTTTTTGAATGGTCTGGGTCCAGTGAATGAGTTTATACTGTTTTCTCATTTTCATCTTGTCTTTTTGGTAGTGAATCTCTATGCTACAAAAAGGCACAAGAACATAGAGATATAGCAGCCCTTTTCTTGTAAAAGGGTCCGCTTTCCCATTTCCCTCTATTTCTAAGTGTCCTGGGATCCAGGAGAGTCAAACTTTATTTTGCATACCTAATTCGTTTCATATTTTTACAATTCAGCATCATCTTTGAGTGATATTTGATGGCTGCCTGGATATCGGACATGATATTATGTTGTGCGGTGAAGTTTCGATGGAGTTATTTAGATGAACTTGGAAATACTGGGATTTTAGGTAGGAAGAAATTATTTTAGTGATACACTGAAAATATCATGTCATCCTGAAGACGATCCTCCTGCCGTACAGAAGCAAAAGCCTTACCCAGGTCAAACAGGACTCATAAATATATTTATCAAAAATTTGCAGGAATATATTTTTCAAAATTTTTGCTTCTTGCTCTCAAAAAAAGTTTATTTTCCCTTTTCATAAATATGAGTTTGGCTGTTTTCAGCATTTTGGGCATTCCCCGAAAGAAAAATGTATTAAACACGTTTTTTTCAGTGTATGGTTCTTTGGACTTTAATAGTAGCGTTTACACTGACCTTCAAAAGAAATCAGGAGTTTATGAAAAAATTGCAGGACTCTTTTGCAGCTGGAATCGAAAGAGCAACATTGCAATTTGAGCCATTGTACATTTCGAAGACACGCAGTTGACCTTTCCACATTGTTTAATAGTCTCGTGGATTAGGGTTGTGGACATAAAAACAAAAAGTGCTATTGTAACAACGCCGAGCTTTCGACGATGGACACATTACCATTCCTCACTAAATACGTAGATGATATATTGACATCAGCTCCCACAGATCAAATTCAACCTACATTAGATACATTTAATAGCTTTCACCCACGCCTACCATTTACACATGAAATCGAAAACAAGAAAACAATACCATTTTTAGACACACTCGTAATAAAACAACCAGATGGCACATTAATCACAGATTGGTATCAAAAACCAAGAAACACATCTCACCATCCTCTTCATACAATAATAAACACGGCCAAAGGGTTACTTCAAAGAATTGTTACCCTAAGCCGTGAATCATTTCACCACAAGAACATAAAGATATACAAACAGATCCTCCATAACAATCTCCACCCTAAACACATAATCAACAAAATAATCAACAACTACAACTCAACACTAACACCATCCACTATTACTAATAATACTACATCAAATCTATCAAATACAAACAAACCAGCATACATTTCCATGCCATTTATTCACGGCCTATCACATAAATTAAACACATTTCTCTCGTCCGGTAACTTCAAAATAGCTTTCAAAAATTATAAAACAATTCACACACTTTTTTCCAAAATTAAAAATCCCACACCAATAACAAATAAATCTGACGTAATCTACAAAATCAATTGTTTAAACTGTCCGGCAACTTACATCGGTCTTACATCCCAATATCTGGACAAGAGAGTAAAACAACATATCTAAGATTGCAAAAAATATCTGTAAATCCCAGGCCCTGAAGATAATCTCAATAAAGATCGACACGTTAGCACGATAAAGAAAATGTTTTTCTGAAACCTACATTACACCAGACCGCATCTCACGATTTCTGAATAATTATAATAATAATTATATTTTGATCAGCAATGAAGTAATTTCAATATTTAATTTATAGATATTAGGTTCACAAGAAGAAAACAGCGATATTGGATAGATCCTGAAAATTGGAGCGGCAGTAACGCTGCGACCCCGCACCTCGAGAGGGTCCCTTGTTTTGACGACGAACTCATCTTTCCGGAGAATCACTCTTTCTACGTCGGCTTGCCGAGATTTTTCTCTAATGCCGCCTCAGTTACAATTGATGGCCAGGTATAAATAAAATGTAACGTGTTTAGAATGTACATTAAGTATTTGTTTATTATTTTTTGTGCGGAAGAAATTAGTTGGATGGAATTGGAAGAAATTTCTCAATGACAAAATTGGCAGGCGGACCTTTCAACCTCATTTAGCTCCGCTAGCAGTGTACAATTACCCGTGCCCACAGAACGATGACTGCGACTGCCACATAATAACGTATGATGAAGAAATCTGCCCGCTGATGAAGGTCGAAAACGCAGAGGAAGACTGCCACTTTCCAGTCCTCCCTTTTGGGTTTTGTAACAGTATCTGCGGTAAGAGCGCAAACTTAGTTTAAAAAAATTATATTAATAAGAAAATAATGGTTGGTTTTACTAATAGTAACTGTTGTAATATCAATTTTCAATCTTCGGCTGGCCAGGGAGTCAGAACCATCCATAGGATTTGAATAGATTTCTCTTCAACTTGTTTCAGAAAAGAAAGTGTCAATTGTGACGTCCTACTTACTTGCCATTTTAAAATCATTACAGATTTCAATTAATTATTATTTTCATCTCAACCAAGACAGATAAAAAGAATACTTACTTGAAATAATTAATATGGCCAATATGTCCGCAAAACATATATGGATTAATACGGATGTTGACTCGGAATCAAACGAATATCTTCTAAACTTCATTATGGAAAGAAGAGGTTTCGCCGGTCATTGCACTTTTTTATTTACGTTATTGTCGAAATAAGTGTTTGTTACGCTTAAAGGGGTCAGCGTTCTTCACTGTTATTGTGTTAACGGACGTTTCTCGACTTTTCGTCCGTCTCGTTATTAAAGTTGAAAGTTTGTCGCTTTCTTGTTAAGCTTTTCCGAAGTTGTATGCGAAGAAGAAATTCTATTTTAGAGTTAATGAGTTCACTTCCGGTAAATGGTTTTGCCGGCCTACTTCCATGACTTATTTTTAAGCATTTCAATTTTTCATTGTAGATGTAATCCATGATAACTTCCGATGATGGATTAACATACTCTTTTAGCTTAACAGCTTGATCTAGATCTGCGCTGCATAAACCAAATTGGCTCCTCTCTGGGAAATCCTTTCGTTTCTAATTATTTAATAGGAGTTATGTCCTTCATATCAAGGGAATTGAATTGGGAGAATATTTGAGAGAATACTGGGGAAACAAGATATAATATTTACAACGCATTTACCGCTAGTTTGCCATGAAACACAAACTGTCATTCATTCTCTTACATGCAAATCCAATAAATCGTATTATCCAACAACCACACAAATCAAACCTGACAAACATACATACACAAGCACTCACACACACACACACACACACACACACACACACACACACATTCGCGCACCCTAGATAACGTGTGGAGAAGTAATAAACAGCAACTATACTCGGGGGTTGAAATCATCAAACAGTTCCTGCTTATAAACTGGAGTTTTCCTTCCAATGCTTTTATACGTAGTAAAAATGTTTATTTTTAACAGTAACAAAGTGAGAACAATTCAACGTCCCACAAAAAGCAAGATATCGTGGTAGAAAGTGAGACAGAGGAGATAGATAGAAAGCAAAATAAAGTGAAAGGTAAAGAACTACACTGGGATGAGGTAATATAGAAGAAGGAAAAATGTGAAAACTAGAATTCATAGAATTTAGGTTCCAGAAAAAGCAAAATATCGTGGTAGAAAGTGAGATGGTAAGAGAGGAAAGGTGAGGAGAGAAGAGGAGAGAGAGAGAGAGAGAGAGAGAGAGAGAGAGAGAGAGATAGAGAGAGTGAGTAAGAGGGGGACAAAAAGAATTNGAGAGAGAGAGAGAGAGAGAGAGAGAGAGAGAGAGAGAGAGAGTCAAATCTGAAAAACATCCAACAATAAAAGGAATAAGAATCAAGAACAAATATACTTTATTTTGTATTTTCAAATATTTCAATATACCGGTTAAAAAATAATAATTATCTTCTGTTGAATGAAAATTCAACGAATGATGAATTTTAAAGGGGGTAAAATTTTAATAATTATGAGCCTATGACAAATTAACGTTAGTTCACCTCATTCTCTTAAATTTATATTCAGTCTAAGTAACAAAAGTGTGCGAAATGAATCAAAAATAGGTTGAAAAAAATCCAAATTAGCATTTCAATTGGTTTTGGTAGGGATTGTATGTCGAGTGTAAAGTTTTAGAAACGGGGATGACTGAGTTTTTAATTAAACAAAAGCCGAGGGAGTAAGTAGATTAGCCGGCACCTGCAAATCCTCTATAAGCTGATTTTGTGTTGGCATTTTTTTTTTACCAGCTTCTTGGATGATCAGGTGGCCTTTTTCCCATACAGATTAGCATCGCCGCCTCCCTCGACCTCGCCATTGTAAAATGCATGTGCATTATCCCGCCCTGGACTCCGAAGCCCTTGGCTTGAATTAAAGATCTACCCTTTGAAACCTTGGGGATTTGTACCTCTGCTACAACCTCCCTACTGAATTCAAACATTCAGTAGTGGTCCATGCGATGTCCGCGTCAACCACCCGAAATCCCAGTCGATGCGCATATTAAAAACAACGCCAAAACAAAAAAATATAGAGAAATGCAGGTCTAGACTAGAATTGGGCATAATCGATAATAAATTTCAATCACGATACAAAAGTAATTAATCATCAAACTATTAACGAATAAAAAAAGGTAATCTGTAATGTGATTAACGATGAACGATTTAATCGTTAATTTAGATTGTGATTAACCAGTTAATCATTAATCAAATCTGCGAATGTTTAAATAAACCTTTACTTGTTAATCAGATTAAAGGAATAATTGATTTGTTTAATAGTGACATTCAACACACTGACAGCGTTCACCCCGCTTTCACTCCATTATCAATTCGAATTTTATTTATTTTTAATTAATTTGAGTTTTCCATTATCAGTGTTTCATTTAAAATTTCCATAAAAAACTATCCAAGTCATTATCTAAACAGTGATATTTCAATATTCAACAGTTATCAATCGTTTGAAAGCAAATTTGAGCAATCGTGTGAATACAGTTTTCACGTACAGTCCGATACTGAAACGTTAGTCATAAAATTAAATCTGCAAATTATTATGCAAAGGTTCATTATTTTCAGAACTTAGTTTAATTCAAAACGATCTGATAACCACTCTAGTGCAGTAAGGTAACATTTAATCAATCAATCGTTTATCTAGATTAAAAATAAAAGATTAATTTAAACAATCAATCAAGCTAGATTGACGATTAATGTGATTAATCAAGTAATCTAGATCCAAGATTAACTTGTTTAATCGTTAATAAGTTTATTGTTAATGATGAATTGTTAATCGTTAATCGATTGGAATTTGCCCAACTTCGGTCTAGGCCAGATCACCACAGTCGAAACCTTTTTCTAGCTTATTTTTAAAAAAATAATACAATTGTTTATTCTGTACATTACGCATTAAAGAACGATCAGGGATGAGACTAATGAAAAAGAAGAGAAAACGCTAAGTTTTTATGTCGTGCTTTCGGGTAATTATATCCCTCTTCATCAGGACTTTAAACCTCTAGTTACTAGTTATATTCGCACCATAAGCACGGACGAATTATTGGTTTTAAAGCCACGAGGAAGAAAATATTTTATAATTTACAGTGAACTGTCCAAAGTTAAGAGTTGAAGTAACTGGCCCAGCTGACTCTGCATTACGACTTCATATAAACCCGGCGCTTATCTTTTTCTCCCCGTTCTTCGGACGTACGACATCCTTCTGACGATTCTCTCGCCTTTTCTGTTCTGTAATCTTCTCTGTATGTTTTAAAGGAAATAAATCTTTTTTTTAAAAACTGCCTTTGGTATTACAAACTTATAACTGGCGCCCGCGAACAGGTACAGCGGAAGTTCACAGAGTTTAGTAAGTCCATTTGACTTATTATTTTCACTATTATTGCGCGATCAATTTCCCGCATTGGAACGTGAGCATTAGCTCTTAATCCGCTGTCTGAAAGAACGAACGCTAAATTGGCCGACTTTAAAACATTAAAGTAGAGAAGATCTACCCTGGACGAAGAGAGAAATACATCGCAGAAAATTTCCTCCTTCTACGGGCAGATCTACAAGCAGAAGACTCCTTCTACATCACCGGAAGAAGATTTACCCTGGACGAAGAATGAAATACATCGCAGACAATTTCTTCCTTCTACAGGCAGACCTACAGACAGAGAACTCCTTCTACATCGTCGGAAGAAGAAGAATCTTGAGAACTTCAAGGCAGCTATGTGTCATTTGGAAGGACCTGCTGAAGCCGTAGCTTTTAACAATAATTGTTCAACAATCATTGAATTAATTAAAGCGTTAAAGAAAATTTTTGCTGATAATCGAACCATCCCGGAACTAATAGCAGAACTAACAATTATGAGATCATAACCCAGAGAACACCCTATAGAATTGTTAAACAGATTAGATGAAAAAAGAACTACAGTAATCCCACGTTATAGATTAGATGGAATATCAGGAGAACTCTTCACTAGGTATTAAACTTTAATCAGAACGCTAGTACACGGTGTACATCCTTCACTAGGTGCACATTTACAATTATTACAAATACGAGATTTAGATGATGCAAGAACTAAATTAATAAATGATTGCAGCATCGTGCTACAACTCAAATATTGGGTTGTCCGGAAAATAATGCAGGATTTTGGTATTAAACAAAAAAAAAGAAACTAGTTACTTTAAAGCAATGTTCTTTAATCAAAATAATTTCCCATACTCTCAATACATTTCTCCCAACGTGTTGGTAACTTATTAATTCCGTCTGAGTAGAATTCAGAATTTTTAGAATTGATAAAGTCAATAAATGCATTTTCCAGTTCCGTTTGATTTTTGAATATTATGTGTTCTAAGTAGTGGTCCAGGTGTCTAAAAAAATGGTAGTCAGTAGGCGAGAGGTCCGGAGAGTAGGGTGGGTGAGGCAAAGTTTCATAGCCAAGCTCCAATAATTTTTGTGACGTTACACGTGACACATGTGGTCGAGCGTTGTCATGCAACAAAATGGGCCCTTTCCGATTGACCAAAGAGGGCTTCATTACTGCCAATTTCTGATGCATGGTATTAATTTGGTTACAGTATGATTCAGCATTGATGGTTTCGCCAGGATTTAAGAAGCTGTAGTGTATTAAACCAAATGAAGCCCACCATACCGTAACCATTACCTTTTTTTGATGAGTTGGGGGCTTTGGAAAATGTATTGGAGCTTCTCCTTTGTCGAGCCACTGTCCAGAACGTCTAGTGTTATCGTAGAGAATCCACTTTTCGTCACATGTAACA